CACCAAGTAATTTAGCCCTTTATACGTGCATGCAGGCGAGGTTTCTTGCAATAGCAATCATTTGTGAAAATCTGTCCTATAAGCCACTTGTGAGGCTGAGGTACCCATCTCAGAGCTCGGTGTCAACAGAGTTTGCCAGGGTAGGCGACTCACTTGGAGGCAGTCCACACAAATTTTCACAATGTTTATTATGCACCCCATACTCATCCTGTGAGCGGCAGTCAAAGGATTACAGAGGTACATAATAGGTCCAGGGACTGGACCCCAAAGTTTTGATAGATGAACAAGGTACAAAGGTAATGAACTCTCAAGTTACACAAGTAATGAATCATCTACACGTCTTATACATAAATGAGAGATTGGTGGACTGACTGGTGTCAATCTCCTTCAGTCTCAAGTCAGTGAAGGTCAGTGGCAGTTCTTTTCGTATTATTGTTATCAAGCTGCTGATTGCCCAATATTGTAATCTACTCCCCACTTTGAAGATATGCCTGTGCCAATTCATCAGTTCTATCATGCATCTGAGAACTAATGTGAGACGGAATCCACAGAATGTGCACTCTGACTCTACTGTCCACAATCCCACCATACCTGTGTCTGAGTGAGGCTCCTGACTCTGCCGGTGTTTAAGCCTAGGGTCCACCTGATCTAACTGGGGAATATCACTGTCATTTAAATATTTCTCTTTTCGGAGGAAACTTTATTTCCTTTCTAATTTCCGATCCATATTTGAGCACCATATTCTCCGGGACTCAGGGTAGAGCAGGGTTCAATAAGCCGTACGCTTTAGTGGCCTTTACGCAGCATCCCAGCAGCAGCAGCAGCGGCAGCAGCAGCAGCAGCAGCAGTAGCAGCAGCAGTACAACAACAACAGCCCGCCACGATGGCCTCTCTGTCACGCACGTGTATTTTATGTAGCGACTGTCATCCTAGAAACATTCTAGGAGTAACTACATACATAAAGGAGCACGTCTTGATAACTTGCAAAAGTGTTGTAAAGGATTATAATGTAAGAGTTGTCGATTTATCTCTTGAATCTCTGGGATTTTTATACCCCTTGAGGGGTATAAAGCCCTGATGCTGGTGAGGGGCTCTTGATCTAGGGAATTGGAGCTGTGCTCCAGTTCCCTGAATTAAGCGTGAAGGCCTTCCATCACCCCCCACCCCCCACAGGCGCTGTGGGGGATGGAAGGTGTTCAGCGCTTCCCCATGATTATAAAAATAGTCTTGTTTCCTTACACCTGCTGTCCCTGTTCACCTAGCACCAAGTACCTGGGTGTTAGTCGATTGGTGTGGGTCGCATCCTGGGGGACAAGATTAAAGGACCCCAATTTAAATAAGACTGACAGTCCTTGATGATGCACTGACTTGGGTTATCCTGGGTGGATAACCCTGAGTTAAAAATCCAAACAAATCCTATCAGCTTTTTTTCACGACTTTTTATACTTCTAATAAATGCAGTTTTGCTTGAAAACATAGAAACCAGAAAAGATTGCAGGAGTTGCAAGATCAGTCAAGTTATGATAGTTATTTTGGTCATCAGGTCACATGCAACAATATTCTGGTTCATGGTCTGACTCTACTGTCTTCTGCAGTAGAGTCAGACTTTAGGCCTAACTGCAAAAGTAGAACTCAGAATTTGTAATTAAAAGAATGGGAGTTGTCACAGTTGCTTTTTGCTGATGTAAATTGTATGTTACCAGGTATTCAAAATGCTCCTCTCAAAGGTCAGTACTTCTTCAAAGTTCTATTATTTTATCTTACAGATAGGTTCACACTGATCCTCCGATCCAGACACCCATTCAGAAAAACTAAATCCAGACTAGGTGTTTCTTTAAATCCTGACATTAGTAACTCTCTCCAGGGATGATTGATAGGATTCCTTAAGTATCACCTTAATTATGAAAGGTTGCTTATGGTATTATACATTTTTTTGTGTGTGTGTGTGACGACGTGCATGTGCATACGTTATTGTGTATATGTATAAAAATTCTTCTTTTATGCCAACTCTTTCCAGGTGAAATACCAGCAGGAATGTAAATGAGATGTACAGTATTAGGATATTTACTGAGGAAATGTTTCACTCCAGGAAGCTTTGCCAATTCAGATAAAGCTTCCCGAGGCCTGGTCTGTGACCAGGCCTCGGGGGCGTTGACCCCCAGAACTCTCTCCAGGTAAACCCAGTAAAACCCCTCAGTAAATATCCTAATACTGCATATGTCTTATTTATGTTCCCTTCTTCCTCATGATTTGCAAAGTGGCTCCAGCTTTGACATATTGTTGTATTTGGTGTAGATGACTGCAAAAATGGGAAGAATACCATACAAAGACAAATGAAGGCAAAAGAGCTTGTCATGTATATTATTTTCTTAAAAAATCTTGTGTGCATTTTTCTAGGTTCTTGATCGGAGACAAGAAAGAAGTTGGACAACAAAGAGTTGGAATCCTTTCACCTCAGCTGCAGTTTATGACCCAACAACAGAAAACATTGTAGCAGTCTTCAACAATACAATATTATCTCGGTGGAAACATGATGAAGATGATGTTGATAAAGTCAAACGACTTATTGTAAGTGCACCTTTTATTCTACACTTATCCAAGTACACGAATATTGTAATTTGTTTTAGAATATTTTCATTAACCTTTGTTACTGAATGCATTTACGGTGGAACCTTGGCTTTCGTATACCCTAGTTGGAGAAAATTCTCTATAAAATGTATTTTTTGTTAATATTTTTGGGTGTCTGGAATGGATTAATTGGTTTCGTTCCAGACTCCCAAAAATGTTAACAAAAAATACATTTTAAAAGAAATTTTTTCCAAAAATTTTCCCCAACTGGGGCATAGCAAACCGATTTCCACTGCAGTATTTTTGCACAAAAAAAAGACAAAAGCAAAAATTTTAAATTACCGATTAGTTCCTCTAATTAAGCTTTTTGGACTTAACCAATAACACTTTAAAAAAAAATTTACTGTTTTTTGTACCCACGAGTTAGAAATCTGGCAAAAATTTAAAGCTTCATTACTTAATATACATGGTGTTTTTTTTCCCTAATAAAATTTAAGATTGCCGACCAAAACTTATTGAAAGGGGAAATGCTTTAATGTCATCGAGCAACATTTGATTATCTTTTATACAGTAGTACATTTTTAAAAACAAAAAATTAAGTCTCAAAAATTTTCGAGTGTTATTTTTGGATAATTAAAAAAAAAAACTTCTTTTAAGTTAGTTTTTATTTGAAGGTACTGCTTTTTTTTTTTAAAGAATAAAATTTAAAGTGCTTTAATTTAAATTTTGCTGGTTAAAATCTCCTGGCAAAAATTATAAAAGTTACTGGGAAACGTCTTTTTTAAATAACATAGGGCCTTTCGCTTTACATTTTGCCTTGCCCGTTCTGCTAATACGGGGGATTTCAAATTATGCCCAAAATTTTCTAACCCGCAATGTTTTTTCTAATAGGCGCCCCCCACCCTTTTTATATTCTCCAGGGACACTTTCTGTTATATTGGAAATTTTCCAAAAATTTTTCAATTTTTTTAAAAGTTTTTTGCATATTTAAATGTACTCGATAATTATATTTATTGTACCGTACTTAAATATACTGTGTTTACACACTGTGCGGGCATCGGGTACACATTAAAATCAAAAATCTCTCTATTCTTTCCCATATAATAATCTTTTGGGGCACATTCCCTTAAACTTTTTTAAACGTAGATCAGTTTTTTTTCAACATTTGAAATTTTAAAAAAAATGAACTTTTTTTTGTTTTTTACTTTTAAAAAACTGTAAAAAAATTTTGATTCTTTTTTTTTTTAAATTTTGAAAATATTAAAAAAAATTAAATTTTATTTTTGGGGAGCACTACCATGTGAACATAATCTTTTTGGACTTTTTAAACCCTTTACTGTCGGGGGTTCGATAAACGTCTTACGGGTACCGTTTTTGGGCGTATATATACCAAAATTCAGGGGCTTCAAACAGCAGGGAAAGCGGTAGGCCCACTGGAAGAATGGGTCTATTGGTCATGTGCCCAAAAAAAAAAACGGGAGAAACCAGTGCATAATGAAAAAAAACTCCAACCTTTTTTTTTTTTTTTTATTAAAAGCCTTTTGGGTCCATTTTCGATATTTTTGGTTGTATTCCGTTTTCTTGGGGTCTCTTTGATATAATGGAAACATTTTATAGAAATAAGGTGATTTTTATTGTTTTTACTAAAAAAAAACCGGGAAAGGGAGCCAAAGGGGGGAAATTTTTGTTTTTTCCCGAGTTCAAAATAAACAAATGGGGTCATGCCAGTAAATGTCCAACTACCTTTTTAAATATGCAGTCATAAATGGGGGTGTTATTTATACAATTATTACAGTATTCAGTATTTCTGCAAAACAAAATCTTCTATTTTTTTTTGAATAAAAATTCAAAAAAAAGCAAAAATAATATAAAGGGGGGCCTGGGACATACGAAAACAAAGAAAATGTTATTTTAATCCGGGAAGTCGCATTGTTCATTCTGGACCCTATTTTGAAATTGTCTATTTTTTAATTTTTGTGAAAAGGGCCAATTTTCAAATTTCTACCATGTTTATTTGGGAGTTGAAATCGGGAAATGGCATTTTTTTGTACCAATCGATAGAAAAAAAAAAGTTCTAAAAAAAAAAGTTGGGTTTTTGGGCACTGAAAAACGGAATTTTCGAAAAAAAGGCCAAAAATGGGGAAATCGCCGATTTGTAAATATCGCCGAGGTCGCTAACTTGCAAGAGCGTAATTCCTTCAGTTTTTTTCCCTCAAATTTTTGTGTTTTTGGTGTCATTACAAACGGGAAAAAAAATTTTCTATTTTTCATAAGAAAAAAACATTTTTTTTTTTTTTTTTAATTTTGCGACACCAGGACACTTCAGATTGGGGGTTTCGACATCAGGGGTTAAAAGGGTTTAAAATTTATATATTACATTAATATAGACATTCCATTTAAACCACTATATTTTTTTTAAAATTTTAAAAATACTCGCTAGTAATATACACATGATTCATACACCCACATAAAAAAAATTGCAAAATATGAGATTTGTTTTTCCCAAATGGGTTGTAGATTTTCAGAAGAATTACGTTTTCCCCCATCAAACACCATTACTTAACTTAGAAAAAAATTTTTTTTCGTAACCTTCACCCTATACTTTTACGACTTGGGTTTTTTGCTTCTTTTAATTATTATTATTTAATAATAAATTTTAATAATAATAAGTTGTAATAATAACTTGTCAACATCATCCTCTAAAAAATGTTCAAAAGAGAATGGAAGTGTTGGCTTATTTACTACTGACCCCGTGGAGACAACTTGCACACAATGAAGGTGTTTTTTATAACAGTATCAACAATAACCAACTTTTTTTTTTACAAATACTCTGTTGCTCTGTCCTCTACGCTTCCTCTCTCTCGTTTATTCATTTTTAAACTTCCTTACTCACCTCTAAACCCCCATTAAGACTACAATATTTAACTAAGTAATAGTGACTGTATTGCACTTATCACTTTTGGGCGCTTTAACGTTGATAATTAAAATGTGGGGGGGTGGGCCCAAAACACCATACCTCTCCCCTACATTTAAACCACATATATTTAAGTATAAAGAGTGTACGATAGCATCTCTCACTTAGGGCCTTTAAGCAGTAGTTAATATGTGGGTGGGAGGCCAAAGGGGACCACACCTGACTTTCTTTCAGAAATACTACTCCCTTTTTCCCTGCATTAAACACCAATATTTTGAGGTAAATAAAATGTACTGTAGTTATTTTTTTTTTTTTTTTGTTTTTTTAAGCCTGTTCATTGCAACTTTAATATATGTTAGTGTAAGCTTGTTACTGGCATTTATATACATTTTAAGTGGAAAAAATGGTGTTTTTGCTTTCCCGATGTCCACCTTTTCGGGGGTACCTGGGAACCTAACCGGCTTTTAAGGGGCCAACGGAACATGCTTTAGAACTCTTACAGGAACCCATCCAAAACTATGCAAAAATTTCCCGCCCGTGGTTTTAACCAATACTCTATATTTAAAATCCTTGTAAATTAAACCAGTAATTTAAATCAAAAAAGCCGGGAAAAAATAGGGAGTTCCACAGGTCCTGCAATAACCCCAACCACTGAAGGGTTTTGGGGACACCATAGTCACATTTTTTTTCATTTTTATTTGCACAGAGCAGTTATCAAAATTCTGACAGTAAGGAAAGAAGCTGGTTCAAATATTGTTAGATTAACTATATCTTTAATTTTTATATTTTAAATGGTAACTAACAGCAAGAAATTTAATAATGGGACACCATATTTTCAGTTGTATTTTAAATGGTGTTCATTGACCTAAGCAGAAGTGTCTTATAAGTACAGGGGACCCCGCCTTACAATTAATCTGTTCCTGAGAGCTCATCGTAAGCCAAAAATTATCGTTAGCCAAATTTAAATTTTTTCCCCATAAGAAATAATGGAAAATTAAATTAATCAGTTCCTGACACCCCAAAATTGAAAAAAAACAAATTTTTTACCACATGAAATATTAATTTAACCTTAACCCTTTCAGGGTCCATGCCGTAAATCTACGGCTTTACATTCAGGTCCAAACCGCAGATCTACGCCATGAGCTCAGCTCACTCTGATAAGCTGTGAGTGGTAAATTTGGCCTAGATATGAGAAATACATCTAGTGGTAATGTGTGCACCACATAAAACAAATCCTGCAGCACACAGTGTATAATGAGAAAAAAAAACTCAAACCGTGATTTTCGATTAAAACAACGACTTGGCAGTGTTTTTTCGTATGTTTTTTTATAGTTGTATTTGCGATTTCTTTTTCTCATTTGATAGAATGGAAGACATTTGCAGAAATAGAGATGATTTTGATGGTTTTAGCACGGAAATGGCTTGAAACGAGCTCAAATTTAGCAGAAATGTTAAATTTTTTGCCGATGTTCAAGAGTAAACAAACGACCTCACACGTCTAATACGCGCCAGCTGGTGGGTCTAATATACATTCACAAATGTGGTGATGATTATTTGTTCAATTATTACAATATTAATAACAGTAAAAACTTTTATTTTTTGGGTTTTAATAAAAATTCCTTATGTGAATAAAAAAATCAAAAAGGAATCCATTTGCAAAGCCTCAAAACGTAACTAATGAACAGAGGAAATGTTAGTTTATGCCAGGAATACCTACATTGTTTATTCTGGACCCCCGTTTTGAAATTGGAATATTTTGAACTTTGTGTTAATTTGGGCCCAAAATTTAACCATTTCCGATGACTTTATTTTGTAGTTTTAAACAGTTGACTTGGCGATTTCTTTGCTCAATCGATAGAATAGAAGTAAAAATAGTGAAATAGCTAAGAATTTGGTCGACTGGAATAATGTAATTGGCCTAAAATGGGAGTCAAAGTCGGGAAAAATCGCCGATTCGTAAATATTGCTGACAAAATAAAATTCGCAAGAGCATAATTTCGTCAGTTTTCCATCAAATTTCATACTTTTTGTTTTATTACCTTCAGAAAAAGATTCCCCTAACCATTTCATTTAAAAAAAATAATTTTTTTTTTTTTAATTCCTTGGACCCTGGTGCGCACTTTGAAGTTTGGCCTCTGGACCCTGAAAGGGTTAAACTGTCCAAACGTAGATCTACTTTTTTCAACATTTGAAAGTATGTTAAAAAAAATGTTTATTTTTTTTTTTTTTTTTTTACAATTTTAAAACGTGTAAAAAACTTTACCTACTTTTTTTTTTTTTTTTTTTTTTTTTTTTTTTTTTTTTTTTTTTTTTTTTTTTTTTTATTTGAAATATGTAAATAAAAAAAAAACTAGTCTACTTTTGGAGCACAAAACCCTGTGAACGTAAATTTTGTTTGGACAGTTTAAGGGTTAATGCACACAAACTGAAGAAGACAGGCAACAATTACTACCTACTAAGAATAGAATACATGACACTTACCTTTATTGACGATCTGGGGATGATTGATGGATGGGAGGAGGAAGTGTGTGGAAGTTATTGTTTAGAAGGGGAGTCCCCTTTCATTAGGACTTGAGGTAGCAAGTCCTTTTCCGGGTTACTTTCCCTTCTTTTAATGCCACTAGGGCCAGCTTGAAGTCACGGACCCCTGTCCCCACAATAAATCTGTCCATAGAGCTCTGTACCTCCCGTTCCTTTAAGACTTTTCCCCAAAATGGGGCCATAACATTGTCATTGACAGGTTGCCAACACGGCTTGCAGTAGCTGTGTCAGGGGGATTAAATCCATAAAGGTTTGCAGTTCAAACCCACTTTGCACACATTTCCCCTTAAACTCTTTTTTTTAATTCCATACTAATTCTTCGCCCTTTTACCACAGGGATGGGACTAGAAGCTTTCTTGGGTCCTTGGTGACTTATTTTGCATTACAAGCACTAAAAACACTGGGAAAATGTAAATGTACTGAATGTATGCTAGATCGACTGCACTGCTGGTTTGTAAACACTGGTGCGAGGCCACACGTGAGACACGTCCCAACGAATCATGTAAAGCGAGTTTTTTATTGTGAGGAGAGGGAAAATTTTTGCATTCGAATGCTTTATTTGGCGGATTAACATAACGCGATGCGTTCCAAGGCGGGGCCCAATGTATTATCTATTTCGTGCCTTTTCTAAATCTTGTGCCTAATACTTGTATCCGCAAAAAACCCCGTCTACTACAGTTTGAAACCCCAATTCATAAGTTGATGGTCGTGGAGATAGTGTGTATGGTTTTCTTTACAAACTGGACAAGTAGAAGATCTTGCCACGGCTATAAAATCACGTAAAAAACTCAAACCCGGGCTGCTGTCTGATGGAGAGTCGATCAGCTACATTCAGATCATTGAGGCTACCAAGCTAGTGGTTGTGGTGGTGAAGAAGAGGTAAGATACTGCATTTTACTTCTTTGTATCATTTTATGTATTTCACAGAAAAATCTGACAGTGTATCTGGTTATTATTATGGTCAAAAAAAAAAAATACAGTAATATGGTACAAGATATGGTTGTATATAGCAAATCAGTGAATAGTGGTTAAGCATAAAATAGAGATGATAATATTGTCTAACAAGTAAAATTTGTTTTGATTCAGTTTGGAATACAGTGGAACCTCAGTACATCGAACTTATTATTCCAGAAGGCTGTTTGAGTGCCGATCCATTTGAGTATTGAACAATTCTTCCCAACCAACTAATCTTCATAGGCCCCATGCGGCAAAAAATGCAAAGAAACACGAAATAGTTTACAGCGAGTTCTGCAGGTCATGTTTGTTTGTCGAGTGCTGAGATTTGTTCAAGTAGGGATCTGTTTGAGTACTGAGGTTCCACTGTATTACTTATCAAATGTTAGAGAAATTATGAAGGAACACTAATTATACCAGAAATGTTATAAATGGTGCAAAGGTGACATAAGAACAATATCAAAAATGATTGACACAAATTCACTACATTATAGTATGTCCTCATTTAGTAACGAATTCATTTAATGTCGTGGTCTTAGGATCAGAACTCCGTCATTAAGTGAGGAGAGGCTGTACTGCAGTTGGAATTGTGAGATGTATGCACTTCTGGAGAAAGCGATTGATGGTGAATGTATTATGGTATACTAAAGCCAGCTTCTTATACTTTCCACAGGGCAGCCCTCTTAGATTACTCCCGATTGCCGCTGGCTGAACTTGTCTCTAGTACCACCAGTAGTTTTCACCTTAGCTCTAAATAATGCTCAACTCACAGGAATCTGTGCACTATCATCTTCAGAGCAAATTTACACTTTGTATGTAAAGTGCTTTTCTTTATTTTTTTTTTATTAATTTTTAATTTAAATTACTTATTTTGAAATATGTTATAGCTACCTATACCTTATTTTGGTTAAATTTGAGTTAATCATTGGTGATCAGTAATACAAATTGACATAAGAATTGGCACAAAAATTTATTATAGCATAGCATACAGGATAATATTTTTTTTCAACATGTTTATTAATATTGTCTACCAGGGTCTTCAGGAGAGCTATATAGCTTTGATCTTCAGAAGGACTACCTTGAGAAACTTCCTGGACGGCAGCATGGAGTGGAAAAGTCGATAGTAACATCCAAAAGCTCAAAAATTTGGAGCTGTCGCCAAACCATATTTCTAAATTTTTGGCTTAGATAAGGGGGATGAAGGTAATCAAATGATGTATTAATGTTAGTTTAGTGTAGGTTGGTGTGGGAATGTATTCAGCTCAGAATGATGGTGATTTTGAAAAGATTTTAGCGTTTTTTTTTTACACGTGTTAGCCTCGCATCAAATATTTGCTGCATTTACTTGAGTGTATAGTTTTTTACTTAATTGTAATGGTTTTAATTGTTTTTTAAATGTTAAGCTTTTTACTAAAATAAATTTATTAAGAAAGAAAGAGCCCTAAACAGATGGCTTTCATACTTGTGCTTAAATTATCTGCATTTTTTAACAAGTAATTTACTTCGCAGCAGTTTGGGCTTCCAGCTTTGCCTTGCTTATTTTTCTAATGTGAAGGTTTCAGCCCAGCATAAGCTAATTTTTTTTTAAGCCTTGTACCATATACATTGTTGTCCATATAGTAAACTAATATTTATTGTTTTCAGTTATCTTCAATCACTATTCTTTTCTATACAATTATGCTCTTTATCATTTCCTGTTTCTGTTAACCCTTTCAGGGTTTCCGACATACTAGTACGGCTTACACCCCAGGATTTTTGACGTACTAGTACGCCTAAATTCTAGCGCCCTCAAATCTAGTGAGAGAAAGCTGGTAGGCCTACATATGAAAGAATGGATCTATGTGGTCAGGATGTGCAGTATAAAAAAAATCCTGCAGCACAGTGCGTAATGAGAAGAAAAAAATTTTGACTGTTTTTTTGGGACTGTATTTTCGTATGGTATTTATGATGGTATTCTAGTTTTCCTGGGCTCATTTTATAGAATGGAAGACATATTACAGAAATTGAGATATTTTTGACTGGTTTTATAATGAAACGTACCTTGAAATTGAGCTCAAAGTGCAGAAATGTTCGATTTTTACCAAGTTC